TTTGCAAACATTGATTTAATCCTTGCAATGCCCTTACATGGAAAAATGTCTCCATTTTGCAGACGAGGAACCTGAAGCATAAAAGGATTGTTTGACTGCCTATGAGTCTGCAGAATGCCAGTGGCACAGCCTGAATCTCTCAATCCCAGTTCAGCTGCAGGTCTGGAACAGTCTGGTCCCTGCAAACACTGACAGTAGTTATTATGCAGCTTTCCAAAGGGATATGTGAGTGGCAAGAAGATTGTTGCTACTGGCATTGTCCTTGGAGCCCTTCTGTGCCAGGAAATGCATACAGAACATCTTCACCATCCGGTTTAACCAGGATGATGAGCACCCGAGTCTGAGGACTTAAGCCCTGTCTCAGCGTGACCACAGCAGGAGCTGTGTAGCCATGTCCTCCACGTTTCTGCGCTTGCCTTGATGCATCTGTGACGTGTCGTAACTGTGTGCCAAGATGCTTAGGGCTCGTTCCCACAACTGCTGGTTTGCCCTTCAGGGGAAACTGTGGGAAAGACACTGGAAGGCTGCCGGCACTTAAGTGATCTTTGACCATATCTTCATTTGGGAGTGAGGAGATTTCAAATAGCCACAGTTGGGAAGGGAAGAAAGTGGGGGGGAAGGGGAAAAAAAAGGCAGTCCAACCTTTCTTTTCCAGCTGTGTGAGCTTGCACTGATGGTTTGCATTTGCTAACTCGTGGTGCTGGGTTTGCACCAAGGAAGCAAGAAGCAGTGACTGTAACTTAGGTTAGTGATGCACAGGGCACCCACTCCTACAAAGCTCCAGTGGCCACCTTCCAACAGTGTCCTTTGTGAGTTTAGTACTTGGGAGGGTAAATGAGAAATACAGTGAAATTATGCTCCATGTCAGAAACAGGTCTTGGAAGGGAAATGAGACCTCCTTCCATGACAGATCCACGAGATCAAGCATCCTGATCATAAAGGAAAACACAAATGCAAGAACAAATAAACCTTTCTTAATCCGATCAACCTGGTTATTCTTGAATCCCATAAAATAACTGCCAGTGGGGTTGCTTGAGAAGAGGTTGCTATAAACATGACTTCTAAGGAGGGGACAGCCAAATTTTGTGCAATCCAGGGATTGAATTGGCAATTTTCTGTGGACTGCTGCTAATTGGCATAAAATTAAGTAGGTTGCAGCCACCCTCATCTCTAATACAAACAGAGGGTAACTGGGAGGCTACAGGTTCCAGCGTGTGGCCACTCCATTGAGAAGAAGCACAGTACACTGGGATGTGTAGTCTCCTCGGGTCCTTTCTCTCTGACAAAGGTCTGGGGAAGCTGCAGGGAAGCTTGGATGCTTTTGCAATAGTTTGACTACCGCTCTCTCTCAAAAAAAATAATGAGACATGGCTTTTGTTAACTTCATGGACTGTTAATCAGCATTCACGAGATCTAAAAAATAAAAAACCAAACAAACATAATTTCCTCCCTCTCTCTTCCACCCAGAAGCAGACTACTGGTAGAAACCGAAGCTGGAAAAAATAGTTGAAAGTCAGTTAAAGTCACCTTGGCAACTGCAGCAATACACTTGCCCAGAACAGGAGACATCAAACCCAACTACAAACAGCTTTAAAGAAACAAAAAGAATGTAATCATCTAAAGAATTAATCTGACAACTGCCCACGTTTACACCTCCTACAAGCTCCCAATCAGAGGGAAATGAGCTTTAATCTCCTCCAGCTCCCTCCAGTTTCACAAAATATGAGATGTACAGTCCTTAAACTGGGGCATTTCCGACATGCTGCTTCCATTTAAATCTACTGCCTTTCCAAATGCAGCAAGTTTTGCAGACTTGTTTTTTCTGGACACTGAGAAACATGGATTATTTTTTTTTGTATGGTTTGGATGAAGTATTAAATCTGGAGTAGACAAAGTTTGCAACATTTTACGTGATAGTCAGCTAGATCTTAGTCATAACAAGCAAAACTTCACTGGCTTTTGTTGCTGATTTATTTGGTGATGGGGTGGAGGAAGCAAAGGCTTACGGGTAACTGACAGTCATAAAACCAGGGATGTTAGTGTTATAAAGCAAATTTTTCTACTTTTTCTTCTGAGGCTGAAAACTACAAGCTGGGGATGGCAATGTGTGTTACAACAAGAGCTTTTTATTACTAACAACCTAGAAGTCCTACTGACCCTTCATCTGGGCCATCATCCTTTGGAAAGGGTCAGCACAAGGATTTCCATTCCCAAAGGGAGAATTTTAATATATCTTGCCAAGTCCTATGTTCCAGAGTCTAAAGTGATGCCACTGAGGCCTCTTGATGTGTTATGCTCAGTCCACAACTCTTGTTTAGAAACATACAGTTTAGACAGAAGGTTATTTGGTTTCTGCTATTGGAGTTTCGCCCTTAACTTTAAATAGCTGGAATTCTGTGAGCTCCACTAAAGTGAAACAAGGAACACACAGAGACTGTGACTATTTTGGAAAAGTTTTGTGGAAAGGATTAATAATTTTGTGTCATTCAAAGTATTAACTACCATTTTGCTTTACTCCTTCACCTTTTTGACAGAAAGGCTGGTTACTTATTAATGTGAAGTCGTAATTATTGACAGCCTTAAAGTCATGACAGTTCCGTTTGATAGTTACACATTAGTCAACATCTTCTCTTGAGTATGTAATGACAAACAGCATTTGCTGTTTTTAATAAGACTTAGAAGGCTTTACCCCTTGCCTCCAGAATATTGTCGTCATTCCTATTATTGCATTAACAACCGGAGGCTGTTTCCCCTCCGGACTGCAACCCCATTGTGCTAGCAGCTGTCCTGGCTAGCATGGTGGAATCTTAAAAACCCACCTTCAGCTCAGGGAGTTTGGAGCCCAGGGGTATGGGGAAGGAGTCTGTCCTCCCGAAGCATGAACCTACAGCAGCAGCTGCCTGGGAGGCTGTGTGGGACATGCCCGGCCCTCTGGGGCAGTGCAGGTGAGAAGGGCACAGTCTGTGTCTGTAGCAATAACAATAACGTTGCTGTAAAACCCCTGATCTGCTCCAGGGTGTGTAAACTCTGGAACTGCATTTAACAAGTGCAAGCTTATGGCCTGCTTGAAAACCATGCATTGCTAATAGCTGACCCTTTTGGTAGGGATTGATAAATGAGTGATTGGAAGCCTTAGACCACAGGCTGACTTTCCCACAGCTCACTGTGTATATAAGATCTGATAAGGAAGTCAAGGCAAAGCTTAGCTTAAGGTCAACTGATCATTAATCAACTGCATTTCTCAGGTAATCAGCCTGCAAAACACTGGCCCACTCCACTCTTTGAAGACCCCACCTACAAAGAGCTGTAAAATGTGTGCTGAAGTAGATTAAACACAACTTTAAGTGCCAACTATAGACTACAAAGCATATTGTGTCTTTGCATCAGGGTTAACCCACCAGATTGACACTGTCAGTCCATCAGCCCACCCTGTGCATAAGCTATATCCTGACCTACCGTGTCCTTGCTGTGTCCATTATTGCTTTTGTGTGTCGCTAAGGCATAACATGGGATATGTTTTACAGTTTTTATCTTGCAGGGAGCTGAGCTGCTCTGACTGACCTGGCCATGCAGAGTATTTGCAGGAAGGTACTGGGAGATATCAAGGTTTAGTTTGTATCCTCATTTCAGAGTGGGCAGCTCAGTAGCTTGGGTGAAAGGCTCATCTGGGACCAGGTGACCTGGCAGAGGCAATAGGTTGATCTGCTTTGCAAGCTGCAGTGAACTGTATTACTGTGTGTGTGGTGGATGGGAGTAAGTTTGGGACAGCACCCAAATGTAAAATCAAGTAGAGGTGTGATCTAAGTCAGCCCATTGAGGGTCAAGCTGTTTATTTACAATTACTTCCAGACATATCTTAAGGACAGCTCTGCTGGGGTGGAGGAAGGATCCAGGCTTGTTTTAACAGTGTTCCCACATGGAGCCACTGCCTGATAGCCTTTTTTAGCTCCTGGTCTCTGGCACAATGGAACCATACTGCAATAGGCATCTTTCATCTCCCTCCTGCTTTACCCATCCCTCTCCTGTAGTGATTCTGTACTGTAGAAACTATCTTAACGAAGTCTTACCTCTGTTAAGTTCATGTGCAATGCCAGGTCACAAAATTGTAAATCACATCAAACACATCACATAAGTCCATATCATCTGCAAAAATCATAACCTCTCTGTCCTTCATTCTTTGTTCTGGATTGTCAAGTAAGGGATTATGTTGATGCTCTTTGAACATATAAAGTGTTCATGGTCAAGTATTTTGAGATATACCAGGATTCTGTCTGGCAGAGTTCCTGATCATGTAACAACATAACCTTTAGTCATAGCTTCACAATATGCTGGCCTTGCAGAAATGAATGAATAGATAAGAAAGCAAAGCTCATTGTCTTAAAGCAGCCCCACTTCCAAGGGAAAGCAATCTGCAGATATTGTATTTGTCACATGTAGAGCTCATCTTTTGGCTGTTAGAGTTGATGCAGGTGGAAATGGAGGGTTCTCAAAACCTTTTGTTTGAACTGTGGAAAGAAATTATTTGGAGACAGTTGTAGGGATGCCTCAGACGTCAAAGTTATTTGAGAAAGGGCACAAAGGACTGGACAACTGTTTCCTACAGGCTACTGCCTAAAAAATCCTGAAGATAAAGCAAAAGCAGGATGAAGGTCACACCTGGTAATTCTTCCAAGCCATTTTATAGTGTTTTGAGGTTTTGTAGCATGTAGTTTTGCACCCAGTTCTTCCCAGAAATTTTATTTCTTGTATGCTAGGAATGGATGCACCATGTGTGTATCAGTTCAGATCCTGGGTCATCAAATCAAGGTGAAGAGCTGAAGAGCTGCAGCCGGGAGTCTGAGGGGGGGCTGCGTCTCTGTAGGGGTGGTGAAAACTCAAATGTGTCATCATAACAGCTTGCCCCTGGTTCTTCCAGTATTTGCAGAATTGCTCTGAAATGCAGCAGAAGTAGCACACAGCACTGCAATCCTAAATTACATGCATTTTGTCTCCTCTCTTAGAAGCCGTAAGGACAGTCTGGAAAGCGAGAGCTCAGCAGCCATCATTCCCCATGAGCTAATCCGCACCAGGCAGCTGGAGAGCGTGCACCTGAAATTCAACCAGGAGTCTGGAGCTCTCATTCCCCTCTGTCTAAGGTAGGTGAAGCCGTCCTCCTCAGCTTGTGCTAACGTGCTGCTTTTGTCCTTGTGGCGTTGTTTCACCATACAGACATGCATGCAATGGGTCTTTAAAGGCCAGAGCTGAGATATTTTGCCAAAATATGTTAGAAACAGATGATACTTTGCATGTGCGTTCATCGTGGTGAAATTGTTTCTCATTCTTTTTATGTCCTCCAGTATATTGTGAGTGTTGGAATAGGACAGGGTTAGTGTAGGGGTTTTTTAATTAGTCTAAGGCTGGCAACTCTGTGATAAAAAAGGGATGTTTTACTGTATTCTCTCAAAGAAAACTCTAATGTTGTTAAATCTGGCTTATGGACTCTGACACAAGTGGTTGTGCAAAGCCTGTTTGCTATCACTTTATGCGTGCAAGTATGTTTTTCAGGCAAATTATGTCACTCACATGACTGAAGGAACAAAATATGGTATGCATACTCTACATGTCTTTTGAAGGTTCAGGCTGTGCATGCCACTGTAAGTGACTTTTCTAGGTTTCCACAATTTCAGTCAGCATTGTTTTGAAAAATGCCTGTGGCAAATGCAGTCCTTATCATAAAGATGAACTGTGGGGTAGAGCAAATGATTGCAGGTGATTGAGTTACTCTAGCCTAATGAGTTACATGTCTGTCGTATCAGAGTTAGCAGCAGCAGGTGGACACTTGCCTGTGCCTGTTGAGAAACCAATGGTATTGTTCAAACATTTGTGATGTAAAATAAAGTATGTTTGTGTTAACTGTCTGTCCTGATCAGTTACCACAGCTCAGCTGACCACCACTGTCAAGCAACTGTGACTCTGTAGGTGCTATCTTACCTGAGGTTTCCCTCTTGCATGTTGGAAGCCATGCATGCGTCTCACACATGTTCTGAGCCTAAATACCAGAGCCATCATTTTCCCTGTGGAAGGCACTGAATGAAAAAGGGGAAGTGATACCATAGACGGTCATATATGTATAGCTTTTAGGCATTTGCTTGAGTGATACAGGTTATATTTGTCAAGCACCAGGGAAATGGATTACTAGGTATTGTAAGATTTGCTAAGTTTGGCCCCGGTGATGAGCCTGCTTAGAAATGCATCTTCACTTTCCCACCTGATGCAAACTCTGGATTGATTCTCTTCTGCAGTTTCCATCTTACTGAAAGATTGGCAGTCCCCTACTCTTACATACATCAGCACCTCATTATGGGAATAGGCATGCAGTGGGATTTAGATATATTTCAGTTCTGTAACAACACCCTGAGATTAAGGGCGGAGATAAGGGAGAACTCTCTGCCTCAGAAGGAGGGTTGTGACCTGCTTTGTGGAGCAAATAATTCATGTATTCCTGAAAAATTAATAGTTGCTGATGGCAGAAGTGATATATCTTCATCATTCTTTTGACTGCTGCTCCCACCCTCTCAATTCACACCCCTATGTTTTATTCCCCAGAGGAAGGCTCTTGCATGGACGGCACTTTACGTATAAGAGCATCACAGGGGATACAGCAATCACCTTTGTATCAACGGGAGTAGAAGGAGCCTTTGCTACAGAAGAGCACCCCTATGCAGCACATGGACCTTGGTTACAAGTGAGAGCCACCTTCCTTTTTCTTCCCCTTCTTGATCCTGCTAAGGGCTTCTGTGGTTTAAAAGTGTAACAAACCTGTATTTTCTGCTACACCATCTCTCATAGCTCTTGCATAATATTTTCAGTAATTACGGACTCAAAAACTAACGGTGAACTGTTTATGTTAATGGAATTCAAATTGATAAGCAGTGGCTGAAAAGTTCAAAAATCATCTGTGAATACAGTAGTGTCCATTTCCTGGAGTCAGCGAACACTTTACAAGCTGTATTTACTCTTGATTTCTTCCAGAAAGGAATCTGGGGAGGCAGAGTGGAATGACCTAAACAAGACCAGAGCCAGGGCGGAAGAGCTAGAAGGCTGTGGGACTGTGATCCTACAGAGCCAAGATCTCAGTTTTACATCATTCCTAAGACAAGAGCAGCACAGAGACCTCAACTGCTTTCAGTTTTAGCTCTTTCCTATTGATTCTTTACAATAGCTCATGGTTGCTTGAAGCACCCACACATACTCTGCACCCAGATTTTTTCTGTATCACAGATTTCCCTTGGAAACTCCCCATCTGCTTGGTGCTAAGGGTCATCCCTATGGAGCAGCAATGCACTAAGGATAGTGTAGTGCTGTTCTAACCTTGAATTTCTTCATGGTTATAAACATATTACAAAAAGAAAAAAGCTTTAGGGAATGTGTTTATTCAGAAAAGCCCATCACTGAAGGACTACATGCATGCATTACGTCTCTGCTTTCACCATTACTGTGGCTTTCCTGCCTCCCCTTCTGTTTGTAAGGCAGGGGTTGTTTTAGCATTGCAGTGTTGTAGTTAACCTTCCAGTGACTTGTTTTCAAGGCATTCCACTGCCCGTATTCATATGTCTGGAGGACATCATACCTTGAAATCTGTATGACTTGTAAAGGAGCTGATCTTGGCTAGAATCATCCCGTGTGTAGGGATTTTCAAAGAGTTTATGTGCTTTGATTGTACTGCCTGGAAAGTGCAACACTCCTGTAATGATTAACAGCAAACCCTCAGGTTTAAGGGTGGGTCATTTGCTGTTGGTTCCTGTGACTGCCAACACATGATACACAGGATCTTGTGACTGTGTTAACTCCAAACATAAGAGTGTTTGTTTGCATTTACATCACATCTCAAAATGTATTGATGTGTAGAGTAGTCAGGTAACCTCTAAACCGTGAAGAATAGCAATAATTTGGTCACCATTCAGACATGTAACTAATATTAACCCTTATCAACCATGCCTGCTGAAAATTACGGAAATTTTTTGGCATAGGTGGGAGGGAAAGATGGAGACTTGCTGGCTTCTGAGGAGTAGCGAGAAGCAAGTTCCCTCTTTTGTCTCCTACACAAGGTCAGCTTATTGGATCTTCTCATCTGATGTGACTGGCTCCTCTGCTGGCTCCTGCTGTGTCCTGTGATGAGAATGAAGGAGGACAGACTGGGTGGGGGAGGAAGGGAGGCTCAAAGCAGCCTGGGACAAGAGAAGGAGCCCCTGGTTGTGTGAGATACATGTGGGAGTGTCTGAGGCTTTTGGCTTAATATGCAATGTGAGGCTTGATCTGTGCTCAGCAGTCCCTTGTGGCATTGGGAGCGGAGGAGGAAGGTTCATGTGGCTTTGCTTCAGAAGTAAAAGAAGTTGTGGTGCATAAAATTTCCAAGGGGGCGAACTGTGTTTGGTTTAGTCCCTTGCAGCCTGGGCTGGCTGATTTGGCAAGCCCCGCAAAGCTTTCACAAGCAAAGCCCAGAGAGGATATTCCTCCTCCCTCGCTAGGGACCCCAGGCACAGCAATATGAGCTCCAAGGAGAGTTGGTGGCTGAAAGCAGATCACTGCAATGCAGGGGCTTGTTGCAAAGACAAGTGAATGGAGGGACTGTGGAGAGGAAGAGAGGGAGCAGGCATGTCCTCCTGGGGACTTTTTCTCTATCTTGGGGGAGGAACAAGGGCCTGAAAACTCCTGGCCTCGACTTTGCAGCAGCCAGGGAGTGACTCCTCTTGAGCCTGAGCTTTGGTACGGTGAAAACCTAAACCTGCAGACTAAACACAGTACCTCCTGTTTACATCTCGTGGGCTGGAGTGGAGCATGTCCAGGGTGGGACAGGCCAGAGGGCTGTACAGGCTGAGCAATGAGCTGAAAGTTACTGGCCTGCATTGGAGGGTTAGCAGATGACAGGAGTTTGGCATGTCCCAGCTCCATTCCTACCAGACAGGTGTCCGTATCACCACCGCAGCTGGTACTCGGTGGGAGCCGTTTTAGCAGTCTCAGCAGAAAAGGCAAGGAGTCATTAGACCACGGAGACTGTATGGCCCATTTCTATCAACAGTCTTTCCAGGTCACATTCAATGCATGTTAGTAGGGGAAGCCTGTCCTGCTGCTGCCCATGCTCTGGGGATGATTAGATTATTTCATTCTCCAGAGCTGTCAAATTGGCACCTTTCCCAAGTACTTGAATTATTTTATTATTTTTTTTTAATTTAAGTAACATTTAATTAGTTCTAAGAAGCTAAATTCTATTAAAGGTCTAAGCATGTCAGGCTGGTTTGTTTCTGAACTTCTTCCACTGTGTCATGTATTGTTGAATAGGGAAATGGCTTTGATTCAGAAAAGTACAAACATATTCAAGAAGTCCTCCTTGTTAACACTAGTCTCCTGTTTATATGCTAGTTACCCTGGCAAAGTCTCTGATGTGTAACACTTGCATTAACATTACACATGATCAAAGGCTTCCGGGGTTCTTTCTTCCACTCCCCCTTCCCCCAATGCTGTGACAGCAGAGCCCCCACACTGCCTCCTAAGCACCCCTGCTTTCCAAGGGGTAGATGTTCTAGATGCACAGAGGAAGACTGTGCAGGAGGGCCCATGTTAGAGGGTTAAGGATGCTGATCATGTAGGCAGACTCTGACATTAACTGCCCCACCGTGACATTCATATTCGTGGTGGAGCATCCAAGGTCTGACATCTGACTATGCAATTAATCATAGATCAACCTTGTTTATCTCAAACCTACCCCAAAACAAGGTGAGGTTGTGCATGTGTTCTCCCTCCTGCACCTATGTTCCAGCAGATGATAGAGACACTCTGTTGAAATGTGTTACTAATCAAGCCCATTCCAATAAAGTTGCCTGAGCCTTTAATACATATTAATATTATCCTGGGGTAGTTTGTGTCAAAGCCTGTCAGCATGCATCATCCTTTGGGAATTACCATCATTAAGTCTCCAGTGATGGGAGTCAGGACATGCTTCTGCAAAGCTCCTCTGCTTTTATGTGGAGTGCTCTGCCTGTCTAGCACAAAGCAGACTGTTCTCCCCTCCTACCTTGCTCACCTGGACTGTTTACTCTCCCCAGAGGGGAGAAGGAGGTTTGTTTAACACTACCTTTAGATAATTTCTTCTCCTGCTGCTTTAGGCAGTCATTGTTCTAGGGAAGAAGATGACAGTCAGGTCTTTGATCATGTGCAGTGTACATGTTATGCATCAGATATTGCTGCAGACTCTTGACGTATGAGCCAATACAGTGCAATAAAAACAAACATATAGTTAAACGAGTCTTCATTAACTGCAAAATCAAATACACCAAGTTTAGAAAATATCTGTACTTTAGTTTTGCCCATTACACATGTGCATTTCGAACTATGTCTAATTGAAGATTCATATATATTTTTTACAAAGCGTACCTGTCTCATTCAGTGCACAAAGATGCAGTGTGTTTGAGAGGTTAATCAGGACTATGGAGTAAAGTAGACTCTTGCCTACAGGACTTCCACTTCATTTGTCAAAATTAGAAGGTGTGTAGTGAATGAGGCAGGTAATTGTAGAAAAATCACAATAGTCTCATGGCAAAGCCTGTTAAATGCTGCCCTAGAGAATTGGATCCTGTTCCTAATTCTACTGCTCTGTTCTTTCTAAATGCTATTCCAGAGTCTTAAGCTAAAAATGTTCTTAGGTGGCAACTGAGTTTGTGTTCCTTGTTTTTGGAATGACACTGGGTCTGATCTGTATTCCCAGGGGCAGGAAGAGGCCAGGATTAATTCCTGTTCGGATTCCCTGTGCCCCAGGGGGCTGAGTGGGCTGGAAAACAGGGATCTGCAAATCCTGAGACAAGCACCTGCAAGAAGTGGATGTTCAGATTCCATTTTCTCTTCATTTTTTTCCCATGTCTGTTCAGGAAAACCTTCTTCCAGTCGTCCTGTGAAGATTAATTCAGTGCTTGCCAAGCATTCCAGTTCCACAGATGAACACCAGAAACAGTTTCAGGAAGATATTAAAATGTGTTCTCTCAGGTCAGGAGAAAGAAAGGATCTCTCTGGGGGTAGGGAGTCAGCCTGGGAGCTGAAGACCCCTGTTCAGCTCCCTGCTCTTGTAGATTTTCTCCATTACTTTGTTACATCTCTTAGCTTCTTTTAGCCTCCTCCCCCATCTGCTGCACAGAGAGGAGAGCTTCCCTGCCTCACAGAAATGGAAGGCTGAGCACGTCAGAGGCTGTGAGAGTGATAAGGACAGTAAGATCAGGTACTTCAGTGTAATCCGTGCTGGCAGTAGTCGGATGGAGCGTACTAAATAAAGGGGAAGAGAGTAGGAGGGAACTGGGAAACAACTTGAATGATAATGAAAAGAAATGATGACTAATGCTGCATTCAGTGAGCAGAACCATCCTGAGGACTGAGCAGGGCAGAGGTCTTGTGAGAGAAAAATGGCAGGCAAGCCTGTGATTACAGATTTGTTTCACAAGGCAGATGTATGCTGGGCCCAAATTAGCATGGCACAGGCAATCTCTGTGCAGCCATTTCCAAAGTTTTGTATGCCCAAAGTCTCTGGTCTCCGAGAGTAAGAGGGTTTTTTCCAGGTGATTTACTTGGTTTCAGAACGAGTCCTGTTAAGCAGATGGAAGCTATGGTTCATTTGCAGTTGGCACCCTCCAATTCTCAGAACAAGGTCTGTGTCTCTGTGTGAGCTGTGGAGCTCACAGCAGCAGTAAGGTATTATCCTCT